GGCAGGGGTTATATCCCTGTGGAATAATGTACGGGGTGGAAGAAAAAACCCTTGTCTGTTGGAGGCAAGTGTGAATGTTGCCATTGGCCACCTTAATTAGCACTGAATGGCCTTGCAGCTTCAAAGCCTGGCTGTGGAAGGTCCAGGGTGGAAGAAAGAAGTCTTGTCTGTTGGAAGCAAGTGTGGATGTTGCCATTGGCCACCTTGATTACCATTGAATGGCCTTGAAGCTGCAAAGTCAATCAGTGAGGGTATCTGCGTAGAGGAAATGAGGCAAGTGGGATTTCTATATGTGCCCTGTGGAATGATGTCGAGGGTGGGAGAAAGAGCTCTTGTCTGTTGGAAGCAATTGTGGATGTTGCCATTGGCCAGCTTGATTGGCATTGAATGGTCTTGCAGCTGCAAAGTCAATCAGTGAGGGTATCTACATAGAGGTCTGTTGGAAATGCGGCAAGTGGGGTTTCTATATGTGTCTGTGGAATAATGTCCTGGGTGGAAGAAAGAGCTCTTGTCTGTTGGAGGCAAGTGTGGATGTTGCCATTGGCCAGCTTGATTACCATTGAATGGCCTTACAGCTGCAAAGTCAATCAGTGAAGATATCTGCATAGAAGTCTGTTGGAAAACAGACACATGGGGTTTATATATCTGTGGAATGATGTCGAGGGTGGGAGAAAGAGCTCTTGTCTGTTGGAAGCAAATGTGGATGTTGCCATTGGCCAGCTTGATTGGCATTGAATGGTCTTGCAGCTGCAAAGTCAATCAGTGGAGCTATCTACATAGAGGTCTGTTGGAAATGCGGCAAGTGGGGTTTCTATATGTGTCTGTGGAATAATGTCCTGGGTGGAAGAAAGAGCTCTTGTCTGTTGGAGGCAAGTGTGGATATTGCCATTGGCCACCTTGATTAGCATTGAATGGCCTTGAAGCTGCAAAGTCAATCAGTGAGGGTATCTGCATAGAGTTCTGTTGGAAATGAGGCAAGTGGGGTTTCTATATGTGCCTTTTGTTTGTCAGAGGCAAGTGGGAATGTTGCCACTGGCCACCTTGATTAGCATTGAATAGCCTTGCAGCTTCAAAGCCTGGCTAATTCTTATTTGTTTTATTTATTTACTATATTTGTTTACCACCCTTCTCAGCCCTTAAGCGATGTCAAAGGCTTTCATGGCCTTTCATGGTCGGGGGAATCCCTATTGGAAGGCATTAGCTGAAGAGAACTCAGAAAACAGGGGGATTCCAGACAGGAAACAATCAGGATCAGCTAGCACCTCCCAGCAAAGGATTCCTCCAGGCAGGAAGCAGCCAGGCTTTGAAGCTACAAGGCTTTTCAGTGCTAATCAAGGTGGCCAATGGAAATATTCACACTTGCCTCCAACAGACAAGAGTTCTTTCTCCCACCCTGGACATCATTCCACAGATATATATATAGAAATCCCACTTGTCTCATTTCTAATAGACCTCTATGCAGGTACCTTCACTGATTGACTGTAGATGCAAGGCCATTCAGTGCTAATCAAGGTGGCCAATGGCAACATTAACACATGCCTCAAGCAGAGAAGAGTTCTTTCTCCCACCTTGGACATTATTCCACAGGTATATATAGAAATCCCACTTGCCTCATTTCCTACAGATCTCTATGCAGGTACCCTCACTGATTGACTTTGTAGCTGCAAAGCCATTTAGTGCTAATCAAGGTGGGCATTGGCAACATTCACACTTGCCCCAAGCAGACAAGAGTTCTTTCACCCACATTCCGACATCATTCCACACCTCCCAACAAAGGATTGCCCCAGGCAGGAAGCAGCTAGGCTTTGAAGCTGCAAGGCCATTCAGTGGTAATCAAGCTGGCCAATTGCAACATTCACACTTGCCCCAAGCTGGCAAGAATTCTTTCTTCCACCCTGGACATTATTCCACACGGTATATATGCACTCCACTTGCTTCATTTCCAACAGATCTCTATGCAGGTACCTTCACTGATTGACTTTGTAGCTGGAAGTGCTAATCAAGATGGGCAATGGCAACATTCACACTTGCCTCAAGCAGACAAGAGTTCTTTCTCCCACCTTATTCCACACACACACACACATATATATACACACACACACACTCCCCTTGCCTCATTTCCAACAGACCTCTATGCAGGTACCCTCACTGATTGACTTTGCAGCTGCAAGGTCATTCAGTGCTAATCAAGATGGCCAATTGCAACATTTGCACTTGCCTCAAGCAGACAAGAGTTCTTTCTCCCACCCTGGACATTATTCCACAGGTATATATACAGTCCCCTTGCCTCATTTCCAACAGATCTCTATGCAGGTACCCTCACTGATTGACTTTGCAGCCACAAGGCCATTCAGTGCTACTCAAGATGGTCAATTGCAACATTTGCACTTGCCTCAAGCAGACAAGAGTTCTTTCTCCCACCCTGGACATTATTCCACAGGTATATATACATTCCCCTTGCCTCATTTCCAACAGATCTCTATGTAGGTACCCTCACTGATTGACTTTGCAGCTGTAAGGCCATTCAGTGATAATCAAGGTGGGCAATGGCAACATTCACCCTTGCCTCAAGGAGACAAGAGTTCTTTCTCCCACCCTGGACATAATTGCACAGGTATATATAGAAATCCCACTTGCCTCATTTCCAACAGATCTCTATGTAGGTACCCTCACTGATTGACTTTGCAGCTGTAAGGCCATTCAGTTCTTTCTCTCACACTGGACATTCCACAGATACATAAACCTCACTTGCCTGGTTTCCAACAAACCTCACACCCTCTGAGGATGCCTGCCATAGATGTGGGCGAAACATCAGGAGAGAATGCTTCTGGAACATGGGCAGACAGCCCAGAAGACTCGCAGCAACCCAGTCACTGCTAGATACGGATGCCTTAATCATGTTTTTCTTTTCTTCTTGAAACAGTGATATGTTTTGGGACGATGCCATGAGGTTAGGGAATATTTTTACGTCCCCAATTTTTACCGCCGATGAGCTCACCATCACTCATATCCGGTGTCAATACAACCAACGGATTGAGATGGTAATTAGCCACATGTCTGCCACGTTATCCGAGCTGTTCTCCTCCTCCTCCTCCTCCTCCGCAGACTACTATTTGGGATGCAATGCCTAAACGGTCTTGTCGGTGTGAGACAAGAGCAGAGCAGGCTTGGAACGGACTCCGGCTCCGACAAAGCACGGGCCAAGCTGAGAAACTTGGGCTTTCCATTGCAAAACAAGAACATCCTTTTTAAGGAGGAGGTGAACCAAACAAACACCCAGTTTTGTTTGGTTGTCACGATGCCAGGGCTCTGCCAGTATTCAGGTGGAGGTGAACCAAACAAACACCCAGTTTTGTTTGGTTGTCACGATGCCAGGGCTCTGGCGGTATTCAGGTGGAGGTGAACCAAACAAACACCCAGTTTTGTTTGGTTGTCATGCTGCCAGGGCTCTGTCAGTATTCAGGCAGAGGTGAACCAAACAAACGCCCAGTTTTGTTTGGTTGTCACGATGCCAGGGCTCTGCCGGTATTCAGGTGGAGGTGAACCAAACAAACACCCAGTTTTGTTTGGTTGTCACAATGCCAGGGCTCTGCCGATATTCAGGCGGAGGTGAACCAAACAAACACCCAGTTTTGTTTGGTTGTCATGATGCCAGGGCTCTGTCAGTATTCAGGCAGAGGTGAACCAAACAAACACCCAGTTTTGTTTGGTTGTCATGATGCCAGGGCTCTGCCGGATTCAGGCGGAGGTGAACCAAACAAACACCCAGTTTTGTTTGGTTGTCACGATGCCAGGGCTCTGCCGGTATCCAGGCGGAGGTGAACCAAACAAACACCCAGTTTTGTTTGGTGGTCACGATGCCAGGGCTCTGCCGGTATTCAGGCGGAGGTGAACCAAACAAACACCCAGTTTTGTTTGGTTGTCACGATGCCAGGGCTCTGCCAGTATTCAGGCGGAGGTGAACCAAACAAACACCCAGTTTTGTTTGGTTGTCACAATGCCAGGGCTCTGCCGGTATTCAGGCGGAGGTGAACCAAACAAACACCCAGTTTTGTTTGGTTGTCACAATGCCAGGGCTCTGCCGGTATTCAGGCGGAGGTGAACCAAACAAACACCCAGTTTTGTTTGGTTGTCACGATGCCAGGGTTCTGCCGGTATTCAGGCGGAGGTGAACCAAACAAACACCCAGTTTTGTTTGGTTGTCACAATGCCAGGGCTCTGCCGGTATTCAGGCGGAGGTGAACCAAACAAACACCCAGTTTTGTTTGGTTGTCACAATGCCAGGGCTCTGCCGGTATTCAGGCGGAGGTGAACCAAACAAACACCCAGTTTTGTTTGGTGGTCACGATGCCAGGGCTCTGCCGGTATTCAGGCGGAGGTGAACCAAACAAACACCCAGTTTTGTTTGGTTGTCACGATGCCAGGGCTCTGCCAGTATTCAAGCAGAGGTGAACCAAACAAACACCCAGTTTTGTTTGGTTGTCACAATGCCAGGGCTGTGCCAGTATTCAGGTGGAGGTGAACCAAACAAACACCCAGTTTTGTTTGGTTCACCTCTGCCTGAATACTGGCTATGGAACTCTCTCCCGATTGAGATCAGGTCTGCCCCCTCCCTCCTGTCCTTCAGGAGGCTGGTGAAATCCTGGCTATGGAAGGAAGCATTCCCAGAGTAATGGTTGAGACCGGCTACAGAACAAAGTTATCGACCACACATACGGACTGAGTTGGACATGATTTTATCTTGGCGATTTGGCTTATTTGTAATTTTAATTGACAACTGCCTACACACCGAGATCAACCTTTGTGGCCTCCCTAGAATATGCATTCTTCTTTCTTTAGCTTTCAAATGATCGTTATATCTACTGTTAGTTGTATTATGGATGTATTTTGGGGGGAATACACAAAAAAGGGGGGCTGTGGTTCAGTAGGAGCTGAAGACCAGAGGGTGTTTTGATCCTGAGAAGGGGAAGTGACCTCTTGATCTTCTGCTTTCCTTACAGGAAGAATGCAAGCAGATCCTGGCTTGGCAGAAATCCAACTCCCAGTCGGATTCGCACGACGATGAGATCTCTCCTCCGCCTCCGAACCCGGCGGTCAAGGCGCGGCGCCGAAGGGGGGGAGTCAGCGCCGAAGTCTACACCGAAGAGGATGCGGTTTCGTACGTCAGGAAGGTAATTCCCTGGATCTCCCCTTTCTCAGAATTGGGACTATACGCAGATAGGATTTCATTTCTCCCTTAGAAATAACAAGGTTGAGAATCCGTGTTGCACTCTAGTTGTGGAAACACCTTTTCACCCAGCACCACACAGTCCGGAAGTAGCTAACTACGGTTTATTTACAAAAGTATGTACAAAAGGGGAAATGACAATTCCCAAAAAGCAATACAAAGGGTGCTATGAAATAGCAGTAGTCCAAAATACGAAGATCAATAGTTCCAGACAGCAAGGTACAAATAATCCATGAAGGTAAGGCACATGAAATCCATTAAGTCAAAAGCACAGGCATAAATCCATAAGTTCATGCGCATGAAACAGGAACATAGACATTAATCCATAGGCAGGAAATCAGGAAATTTTCAAGATAAAACTATTTCAGGAACATGGGCAACTTGAGAGCTAAACACGAACTCGATTTTTAAGGCAACGTTGTCTGCTCTGAAGAGGCCAGGAAACCAGCTCTTATTGTAAGCTCAAACCTGACCAAGAAGCCATGTGGTCATCCCTTCTGCACCTGGGTTTCAAGGACTGTTTCTCACAAAGTCTTTCTGACCTTCTGATTAACCTTTCCTTTACTCTCTCTGAGAGGAGACCTAATCTCATATTGCGGGGTAACTCCCCATTCTCTGAAGGCCATTAGAATCATAGAATCAAAGAGTTGGAAGAGAACTCCTGGGCCATCCAGTCCAACCCCTTTCTGCCAAGGAGCAGGAATATTGCATTCAAATCACCCCTGACAGATGGCCATGCAGCCTCTGCTTAAAAGCCTCCAAAGAAGGAGCCTCCACCACACTCCGGGGCAGAGAGTTCCACTGCTGAACGGCTCTCACAGTCAGGAAGTTCTTCCTCATGTTCAGATGGAATCTCCTTTCTTGTAGTTTGAAGCCATGGCTCCATTGCATCCTGGTCTCCAAGGAAGCAGAAAACAAGTTTGTTCCCTCCTCCCTGTGGCTTCCTCTCACATACTTATACATGGCTATCATGTCTCCTTTCAGCCTTCTCTTCTTCAGGCTAAACATGCCCAGCTCCTTCAGCCGCTCCTCATAGGGCTTGTTCTCCAGACCCTTGATCATTTGAGTTGCCTTCCTCTTGACACATTCCAGCTTGTCAATATCTCTCTTGAATTGTGGAGCCCAGAATTGGACACAATATTCCAGGAGTGGTCTAACCAAGGCAGAACAGAGCATGGGGAGCATTACTTCCCTAGATCTAGACACTATGCTCCTCTTGATGCAGGCCAAAATCCCATTGGCTTTTTTTGCTGCCACATCACATTCCTGGCTCATGTTTAACTTGTTGTCCACGAGGACTCCAAGGTCTTTTTCACACGTACTGCTCTCGAGCCAGGCATCGTCCCCCATTCTGTATCTTTGCATTTTGTTTTTCCTGCCAAAGTGGAGTATCTTGCATTTGTCACTGTTGAACTTCATTTTGTTAGTTTTGGCCCATCATCTCTCTAATCTGTCAAGATCGTTTTGAATCCTGCTCCTGTCCTCTGGAGTCTTGGCTCTCCCTCCCAATTTGGTGTCATCTGCAAACTTGATGATCCTGCCTTCAAGCCCTTCATCCAAGTCATTAATAAGGCCAATTCTCAAGAGAAACGGAATCCCAAACATCTTCTATCTCTTCTGCAGTTGCCTATCCTTCACTCTGTTCTATGGCCTGTATTTCTGTCTGTGATTCAGCCTGATCACACACAGACTCAATGAGAAATCCATCATTCCCCTCATCTTCTGAGACAGAATCCCCAGCACCCCCAGCCTCATGCTAATGAACCCCAACAGTCTGGTAGAATGTTCATAGTAACTGGATTCAAAATTTGGGAAAGTTTTTGAAAAAATGATTATCTCTCTCTATAAAAGCAAAGTATATCTGTGTGTATCGCAAAGGCTGTTGCTAGGTGAAGTGGCCCTCTTTGATGCTGTTGTCTTGGCTGCTGCGAGCCGTTCAGCAGTGGACCTCTCTGCCCCGGAGTGTGGTGGAGGCTCCTTCTTTGGAAGCTTTTAAACAGAGGCTGGATGGCCATCTGTCAGGGGTGATTTGAATGCAATATTCCTGCTTCTTGACAGAATGGGGTTGGACTGGATGGCCCATGAGGTCTCTTCCAACTCTTTGATTCTATGATTTCTGACTGTGAGAGCTGTTCAGCAGTGGAACTCTCTGCCCCGGAGTGTGGTGGAGGCTCCTTCTTTGGAAGCTTTTAAACAGAGGCTGGATGGCCATCTGTCAGGGGTGATTTGAATGCAATATTCCTGCTTCTTGGCAGAATGGGGTTGGACTGGATGATGGCCCAGGAGGTCTCTTCCAACTCTAGGATTCTATGATTCCTGACTGTGAGAGATGTTCAGCAGTGGAACTCTCTGCCCCGGAGTGTAGTGGAGGCTCCTTCTTTGGAAGCTTTTAAACAGAGGCTGGATGGCCATCTGTCAGGGGTGATTTGAATGCAATATTCCTGCTTCTTGACAGAATGGGGTTGGACTGGATGGCCCATGAGGTCTCTTCCAACTCTTTGATTCTATGATTCCTGACTGTGAGAGCCGTTCAGCAGTGGAACTCTCTGCCCCGGAGTGTGGTGGAGGCTCCTTCTTTGGAAGCTTTTAAACAGAGTCTGGATGGCCCTCTGTCAGGGGTGATTTAAATGCAATGTTCCTGCTTCTTGGCAGGGGGTTGGACTGGATGGCCCACGAGGTCTCTTCCAACTCTTTGATTCTATGATTCCTGACTGAGAGAGATGTTCAGCAGTGGAACTCTCTGCCCCGGAGTGTGGTGGAGGCTCCTTCTTTGGAAGCTTTTAAACAGAGGCTGGATGGCCATCTGTCAGGGGTGCTTTGAATGCAATATTCCTGCTTCTTGGCAGAATGGGGTTGGACTGGATGGCCCAGGAGGTCTCTTCCAACTCTAGGATCCTATGATCCTATGTTGGTCGCTGTTCAGCAGTGGAACTCTCTGCCCCGGAGTGTGGTGGAGGCTCCTTCTTTGGAGGCTTTTGAAACAGAGGCTGGATGGCCATCTGTCAGGGGTGATTTGAATGCAATATTCCTGCTTCTTGGCAGAATGGGGTTGGACTGGATTATGGCCCAGGAGGTCTCTTCCAACTCTAGGATTCTAGGATTCTGTGATGTCGTTGGGAAGGAAAGGTGACCCGTGTATGAGAGGAAGGAAGGGAAGAGGTGCAAAGAGAGCCATTTTGACATGGAGACATCGTGGGAAAGGGAGAAAGGGCAGGAGAAGGAGAGAAACAAAGAGCAACAAAAAGAAGGGAAAGAAAGGAACGGAGAAGGAAGATCTGCAGGATTTTCCGGAGGCAGCGCTGATGGAAATGTTCCAGGAGTTGCATGTGACATCTGTAGACAGTCCACATTTTGCAGATGTAGAGCAGGGTTGGGAGGACAGTAGCTTTACAAACAAGCACCTTGGTATCTATCCCTAAGGATACTCTCTGCTTCATTCGGGAAATATGTTGCAGTTGCAGAGCTCAGGGAGTGTTGTGTTTCATTGTCGATGTTGACTTTTGTGGAGAGGTGGCTGCCAAGGGAGCGGAACTGGTCCACATTTTCTAATGTTACACCATTAAGTCGTATTTCTGGCATTGCAGATGGGTTGGCTGGTGACTGCTGAAGTGGCATCGTAATGCAAGTAGTTTGAATTCCTATAATGGCTGATGGCTTCCATGTCATTGGGAGAGATTATTCACTTATGTGATACCTCGTAGCCCGAGGATGATGGTCCTCCCACTCGGGTGTCTTGGTAGTGGGTCTGTAGGTGGCTGTGGTACCTTATTCTTGACCCGCATGTTTTTCTGCAGTGAAGACATCAGTTTCTAGGTGGTCAGGGTTGGCTTGACATGCCTTCTCCCTCTTGGCATATTTCTCCCTTTTGCCCTCTACTCGTACCTCTTTGAATTCTACAGCACTGCTGGTCACAACTGACCTCCAGTTAGAGCGCTCAAGGGCCAGGACTTCCCAGTTCTCTCTCAGTGCCTATGCCACAGTTTTTAAGGTTGGCTTTAATCCCATCTTTAAATGTCTTTTCCTGTCCATCAGTGGTGATCAGGCATTTGGACAAGGTGGCTGGTCCAACAGCGTGGATGGCGGAGGACCATCGCTTCAATGCTGGTGGTCTTTACTTCTTCCAGCACACTGACTTTTCCCCGCCTGTCTTCCCAAGAGATTTGTAGGATTTTTCGGAGGCAGCGCTGATGGAATTGTTTCAGGAGTTGCATGTGACATCTGTAGACAGTCCATGTTTTGCAGGCGTAGAGCAAGGTTAGGAGGACAATGGCTTTATAAACAAGCACCTTGGTATCCCTATGGATGTCCCGGTCTTCAAACACTGTCTGCTTCATTCGGGAAAAATGCTGCACTCGCAGAGCTCAGATGGTGTTGTGTTCAGTATCAATGTTGACTTTTGTGGAGAGGTGGCTGCCAAGGGAGCAGAAATAGTCAACATTTTTAATGTTACACCATCAAGCCATATTTCTGGCATTGCAGATTGGTTGGTTGGTGATTGCTGGAAGAGCACTTTGGTTTTCTCGATGTTCAATGACAAGCTGAGCTTCTCGTATGCTTCTGCAAAGATGTTGAGAGTGGCTTGTAGGTCTTCTGAATGTGCACAGATGACATTGTCATCAGCATATTGGAGTTCTATAACTGATGTTTATGGATTTGAGTCTGCTGAGGTTAAAGAGCTTGCCATCTGTCTGATAGATGATCTCCACTCCAGTGGGAAGCTTCCCATCAACAAGATGAAGTATCATAGTCATGGAGATGGAAAATAAGGGTGGGGTCAATAACACATCCCTGTTTGACACCTGATTCCACCTTAAATGGGTCACTTTGGGAGCCATTGCTGTCCAAGACTGTTGCCATCATATCATTGGGGGAGATAAAGCCACTCCAACTTGAATGGAGCTATCCAAGGTGCTGAATGCTGTCTCCCAAATAGGCTCACCCTTT